AGCCATAACTACTATTAGATCCATATCACATCAGGAAAGAGGTTAGTGCAACAATTCCACAGTGGTCTCTCTGCATCCAGTTGCTCAGCTTTCCTATGGACAGGGTAAACGGGCATCCCATTACTTATTAATAATATCCCCCTTTCACTTTCAAAAGTGTCCTAGTTTGAATGATAAATTATATGGTCACCCTGTCTATGTACCATTACCACTAATCTTCTGAAAACATTGATATCAACCTGTAATTCATCTGCTCAAAAATCAAAAGCTCCTACTAAGTGTGTAGGGGACATTTCTGCCTGCCCAGCCTTCAAGACAACCCTCCTTCCCCATTTCATTGTTGAGGGTGGGTACTGTTAACCAATGTTGATCACAACATCCTGCCCTATCACTCCAACCAAAGGTAGGCTAATAATTCAGTTGTGAATAATCATGGCAACCTGTAAAAAAAGGTGGCAGGCAAGTGATCCAAGAAAGAATACTACTGGAAATTAAACAGGATATCTTTCTGGCAGGCATGTAGACTAAGAAAATGTATTTGGAACCACTGGCAGCAATAATTCCTGCCACACAAAGACAACTTCACTGGAAAAAAATCAGTGATGAGGAATGAACAGGAAGGCTGAGGGTGAAGTGCTTGACAGTAAGCAGTAAAGTGCATGACAGTGAACATGAATGCCCTCCAATGAGCATTTCCTCATGACTTGGTTCCCATACTTCTTAATTCAATTCTGTAAACCACCCTAGTATCTAACAAAATCCCTTCGGCTTAAGCTCATTTGAATTTGGTTTCTGTAATGCACACAGAAAAGTAACCTGACACCTCATTCCCCAAAAATCACCTTCAATAATATCCAAAGACATGAAAAATATTTTAATAAAAGCCCCATTTCCAACCTGGCAGAATAGCGAGATGTATATAGACAAGTATCTCTCTATGTATACGTACACATGCACTTATATGCACACGCATATACGTTTGATATTTACTTCTGAGAAACATAACTTGGAGACAGTTGCTTATGTCATTGGTGATGCCATATACTGATATTCAACTTCCTGGAAACCAATTTGGTGATATTTATCAAATGCCTTTAGAATTGCAAGACCCTTTGTATCATTTAAGGTGAGTTTAGTGATAAGCCACAAACAGGTTTAGGACTTAAGCAAGAAGGAAATTAGAAAGACACTGAGGAACTCCAGGACTGAAGACCAACCAAGCATCAAAAAGAGCAGTGGCCCAGACAATTCTAAGAAGTCAACAACAGGAACCCTAAGGACTTCCTGGGTTCTGTCATACAGTGACTCAGTTCCCATCAAATTTCACCTGGGAGGGTCTCTGTTTTACTTTCCAAATTTTCTGGAGAGAGCAAGCTTTAGTTATGTATTTCTACCCTCAGGAAATCCAGCTGTGGCTAGGACATCCCGTGACTGGGGGAGGGAAAGAGGGCAACAAGAAATAAGATGTGTTGGTATACATATATGCATTCACCTTTGGCTTCCCAACACACATGCCTGTACAGCCAAAGATGCCTCGACCTACCACCACCCAAACACTATGAACGATGGCAAATTTGCTCACTTCTATCACAGCAGGAAGTAACCAAAGTTACACACAGCTGCTGCATCCAGCAGTAATAATAGATTTCATAGGGCCACTGCTCATCAAGATCAGTACTTCTCAAACTATTTGCAGTAAAAGAGCAATAAGCTTTTGTTTTTAATCTGTCATGGACACATTCACTGAGAAAATGCAACCACAATGAATTGCTAGAAAAATGAAATTTAAAAGAACATAAAATGCAAGCCTCAATTTGTATTATTACATACAATACGCAGAGAAATTTTACTGCCAAATTGACAGAATAATTTTAATACTCTCTCTGTCTTTACTTCTCTCACCATGAACAAGTAATAAATAGCTCATGCACTAGGCTGCAGACACCCACTTTGAGTAGTAGTGTTCTAGATGATATCCATTCCCCCTCAAATTCTGCTTCATCCCATGGTCCAAAAGGCATGCTTCACCTCACCAATACACTCTGTATACAATGTCAAAGAAAGGAGTGCATTTTATTCTAAGTAATGACATAGTAAGCAAGGAAATAAGTCTCCCTTTCTGCCATTTATCCCTAAGCCAGAGCTGGTACTCCCTTTTCTATTTTTCTAATATTAGTCTTCCCTTTCTGATATCCATTCTGTGATCTCTTTACCTTCTACATCCCTTCAGCTACTTGTCCAATGGGACAACCTGAACCTTGATTCTTGAGCTATTTAAGTTCTTGGTGATCTTGCCTATAGAAGGGCAATAGTCATCCATCAACCTTTCCCACTGAGCATATAAGAAAAATAAAGGAACCCACTGAGTCTTATTCCTCCTAGATCCAGTTATACAGCAGTAAGTGTATCTCTCCTTATTAGGCAGGGTCAGTCGCTCCAGCCAACACAGTATTCCACTTTCTGCCATTTGTCCCCTGGTATGAAGAGCCCAGCCAGTTTTAGCTTCCAATTCAGAAGACCATACTATACTCTAAAAGGGACCAGTTCCTCCTCACTCCTTGGTTCCTAGATCCATATCTTCTAATTGTGGAGAAACAGTGCCTTATTTCAAATGCTGGTTCAGAGCCTAACCAGTGTTCTGCAAAGTAGCTATATCACCAGGTAGAAGAAAATGCCCTGTGAGATTACAGTGCTAAGTCTTTAGGGACCATCCCACCATGTCAAAAGGCTAACTGCTTCATTACTAGGGAACATAAAACAGTGAATTACATGTGAATTAGTGCATTGTCTTTATTCTTTGTTTTTGATTAAGGAACTCCCTTTATAGCCAATTTGGGTGGGATAACAAGATGGCACATAAAGCATCCAAAAAGTTTGCAGTTAGTTCTAGCAGAGGCATGACCAGGAGGAAGTAGGAAAAGGGAATGATGTTCCCTTCCATAATGAGAGCAATTAAATAAAATTCAACAAGGAGCTGATTTGTGTTTGCTAAGTGTGATGCCTATCAGAGATGTGGGCTGGTCCCTAAGGCTGACAAATTGAGCACTCAGCTTTGGTAGCAGCATGGTCTGCTCTGATGAGGGAAAAGGCCATGTGGTGGGGTCTACACAAAGCCTCTTGGTGATATTTATCAAATGCCTTTAGAATTGCAAGACCCTTTGTATCATTTAAGGTGAGTTTAGTGATAAGCCACAAACAGGTTTAGGACTTAAGCAAGAAGAAAATTAGAAAGACACTGAGGAACTCCAGGACTGAAGACCATCCCTACTCCCATGGTTGTCTCAGTCACCTTCCGTTTGGATGCTTATCAGAAAAGTCCCACAGCAGAAGAGGCTCTCAATCACATGAATAGGCATTAAAGTAGTCAGCTCCTTTCTACACTTACTCATTGGACTCCGGAACTGTCTCCTCTTGTGGATCCATTCTGAATGTTCCACACTCACATCCTTTTCCTCAATTCTCTAGTCAGCCTTCCTCTATGTCCTAGACCAACATGTCCAAGACCTGGTCAGGGCCCTATTTTAGGCCTCATCTCCATCCAGGTAAAGTTACAATGAGACGTTTCACTTAACATCTCACCTAACTAGAGGTTTTCGCTTCTCTATTGTCATTCTGAGTTAACCCCATCGGGGGCACTAAAGCTGCAAAGTCTACTTACAGTTGTTGGCAGTTGTTATCTGGAAAAAGTCATCCTTTGTATTCAACAGCTTATTAAAGGGGCTCCCATGAGGCCATAAGCCTAGGTTGAGGATGGAACAGCAGCGTGGTATGCTCAGGGGGCACGTAAGCAATCTGCTCATGTAACTTACTTGTTCTTTGGGGGCTTGATGGAATGCTGCCAAGGCACATTCCAGTTTGTTCCTACTTTGCTATGGGTCCTGGATCCCTGCTCATAGAAGCTAAAACTGAAGCATATTCATGCACTGTGTACTATCTGATTCACTGAGATACATTTTCAGAAAAGGAGAGTCACTTACTAAAGGAAGCAAAGGCTTTCTCCTCAGTCTAGGAGCTTTTCATTGCAATTCTATTAAGATTCGCCACAGGAATCATTCAGTATTCAGGTCTGCCTTAGTCACTGCATTAATTTGCTCCACTGAGGAGACAACATATGGAAGAGCAGTTGCAGTGAGAATCACCACCTGATGAAGTAATGATATGCGGGGCAGCTTTTCTGGCACCAGCTTCATCTTCTCCATGACTCAAGCTCCTGATAGACAGATCTCTGCCATTCCAGCTTCCAGGGGGTAACCTCACCCTGGGATCCCATCATTTCCTTCCAGCATGAAAGTGACTTCCTACTTGTTTCCTGGGCTCATCTTCTATTTGACTTCCCAGCTCCCCTATTATCTGCCTCCCCACATTAAATTCCCTTGTTGTAAATACTTAAAGTGGATGCTGTTTTCCCGGGTAGACTATGGGTCAGCTAAGTTGACTCACATTAATCCCCATGGGATATAATTAACACATTTTTCTCTGAGTATATAATAGAAATGTCTTTCCTCGTCAACCTTCAGAAACCCCAAATTAGCTGCCTGACCTCTCTTAGAAAGACTATGACAGTGAGAGAACCAAGTGGCAGTTATTTGTTTACCTCACACTGTCAAAATAGTTGATCAAAAGTGATATCATATCCTAGGCTATTTTCAAAAGATTGAAAGATGTACATATGGATATTCATACCTTATGCCCATCTGTTTCTTGGTTGGGCCATCATATAACATTGATGGCCCATGGAGAACAAAAGTTTTTGTTTTATATCAAAACGTAAAAATAACAAACACAGACCCTACAGGCTAGCTTTTCCATTTAATTCTCCAAGATACTATGTTTAATCTAAGCCAGAGATTTCTGCTTATCTGACCATTTCCTGAGCCCTGATTATTGCATTGCCCTCTGACTACACCCACTTTGAGTGTGCAATTACCTGCTTTCAGCATGACTTCTCCTAACTCTGCTAGTTTAGGGATCCCATTTTCATTGTACCCTCCCATCTGCAGGCCTGGCTTATGAAGAACAGTGATGTGCATTTTAAGGGATTCTGCAGCCTGCCTCAGCAATCTATTTCTCGTGGGGAAAAGATTCTTCTGGGCCTTGAAGCAGAACAGAATGAGAGGTAGGTGGGTTAAACACACGCACACACATACACACACAAATATCTAATATTTCTACTTCTTACAGTCTTTGTGAGCCAGAAAAGCCCGAGTATAATAAAGGGAAACAATTTCAATGTCACCTAGTGTAGGACAGCATTCAGCAATGGTTTTCACTCACCAGGCCATCAAACTTGAAATTAAAGCTGTCTGCCTAGGCTTGCTCATTGAATACAGACAACCTGGTGAGTACTGTTGCAATGATTTCAGCAAGATCTGAATTTCTGAAATTTCTTCTGACAATATTTTTCCTCCTATATCCTCTGAGGCAATAAGTGCTGATTTTTTTTTTTTTTTTTTTTTGCTACTGAGAACAATGAAAATGAAAAGACAGATATGGGCTTGGGCCACATTTGGTTACCAGATAAAATATAGGATGTCTAGTTGAATTTGAATTCAGTTAAACTACGAATAATTTTTTAATATAGGTATGTCCTGTGCAATATCTGGAACATACTTACATTGAAATAAATCATTCATTGTTGGTCTGAAATTCAAATTTAACTGGGTACTTGTATTTTTACTTGCCAAATCTGGCAATTCTATTGGTAGAACAGTTAACGTTAGCTTTTTATATAAAGGAGACTTCATTGCTTTTGTCAAGGGAGCAAGAAGAAATGGTTAAGAACTAAAGCTATGGCCTGAGATTGCCTAGGTTTGACTCATGTAACCTCTGCTTAATGACCTGTGACTTTGAACCAGAACCAGCTACATAACTTACAGAGCTAGAGCGCCTCACCAGCCTCCATTCTCTTCATTTTGGCAACGGCTACCCAGATGTCCAGAGCTTTGCCCACAAAGAGATGTCCAGTTGCCTGGGGTAATAGATTGATTAGCTATTTGGCCACCGCTTACCAAGAGCTTTTATATTTCTGTGCCAGCACATAGAAAGAAGCTTGACTGCCTTTCTCCCTCATAAGGTTTAATGGCTAATTCCAGATAATTACCTTTCTCTAGGTGTCTACTGTATGTTTTATTTAGGTTTCTTTTTTGGTTGCAACAAAAAGGAACTCAGATTAACAAGGAAACCACATATTTTGAGGGAAAGAGTCCAGGTTGCTCACACGATTTGAAGAAGGGCTACACAAACCAGCTTCAGGGAAGACAGGAATAGGAGCAGTACAACATCAAAAGCCAACTGTAGAAGTCTGATGTCTTTGTACCAGGTCCTTACCTGAGATGACTCCACTGTTTTCTGCTACTGTTTGCATGTCAGATTTCTAATTATTTTTCTTTCTTTTTTTCCCCCCAGCTTGAATCTGGGTGTTCTATTCCTGGATTGGAATGGTCAGGGTCTAGGAGTAGGAATGATGGCACAGGGCATCCATGTGAGCTGGTCATATGCCCCAGTTTGAGTCTATTGTGAGCTTTGCCCCAGCAACCATACAGTGAGGACACTATTATAAGAAAATAATCAGATGTAATAAGCGTATGAACAAAGCTTCTTATTGCACTGAAGATTCGGTAGCAACCTCAATGTCCAGTGATAGAGGAGAGATAAAATTATGGAATGTAAATGTATATTATATATGAGGTGATCATTAATGCTGGATTGATACTTAATGTTATAGAAAATTCTCACATGAAATTTATAATACAACTCAGAATTTTACAATGATTCCTTTTTGTAAAAGACTTATAGAAAATACACTCAAAAATTAAAACTTAGTCCCTACTACCCAGAGATAATTTTGTCCACTTAAGTAGACTCCATTTTTCTATGAGTCAGGAAATTATTTTTTGAAATTAAAATATCTGATTGCTTATGACCTAAAGTCCTTGACTGGCTCCAGCTTATCTTTCAAAATGGCTGTCCTTTGTTTCCTGAACTAGCTAGTCAAGAGAAACTGGCTAACTTGGTCTATGATTTCAAGACCCACAGAAATGCCACGTCTTTCATGAAACCTTCAATCAACTCTTAGTAATCCCGCTTGCCACAAGACTACTTTTGTCTTGCTTTTTTCATTCATTAAGCCCTTACAGAGCTTTCTATGGTTAGTTTCAAAAGCAGGGGAGGGTTTTTAATTTCACATTATTTTTGCCAAGGTAGATGGAGGGAATGACAAAGAGGAAAGAGGGAGAAAGTAGAAAACAACCATGAACTACACTAGCTTAGAAATGCTAAAGAGTAGAAAAACATTGATAACCAAATGTAATGTGATCTTTGATTAGATCTTCTATCACACAGTTGCTCAGGGGCTTCTCAAACTGATGTGTACACAATTCACTAGGTTCTTGTTAAAATACAATGCCGGCTATGTTGCTGGTTTAGGAATCAAATGTTGAGAAGCAATACTCTAAAGGGCATTTTGAGACCTGCTGGAAAAATTTCACTGCATTTTAAATAATACATCAATGTTTTATTTCTACAGTGTGGTAGAGACATGAGATCATACGGGGTAATTTCATTTGTAGGAGACATGTATTACAGTGTTTTGGGGAGAAGTGTCATGCTTCCCATAACTTACTTTCAATTGGTTCAGCAATAAAATTATGTACATAAATATCTATATGAAAAATAAAGAAAATGGAGTAAAGTATTAACAATTGATGAATCTTGGTGAAAGACAAATGATCATTGTCCTATTCCCTTTAACTTTCTCCAGATTCTGGAAATCAATATAAAAATCTCTATGAAATGACCAAGATGATGCACATGCCTATGCTATACCCACAGAGATGGAGTCAGTATGTCTGGAGCGAGCCCTAGGAGCCTGCATCTGAAACACTCCCCGGAGATCCACACAGGTTGTACACAGACCACATCTTATGAACGATGTTTTAGATGTTCACAAACAATGTTGTTTGTTTGATGACTCACATTCCTGAAATGGCTAGGGTCCCCAGGTCTGAAATACTCTAATGAACTGTGGTAGTTATAGCTCAGTTTGCCCGGCAGCCTTTGCATCCCCCCTGTCCCTCAAACGGCACTTTGCTTTCCTTGGGGATCTTCTCCCCAGTTCACAATTTGAGGAGAGATCGACAGAGATGACACCCACCTCACCCTACCTTTCAGAAGCATGCACCTGTGTACGTTTCCTGTGCTGAATAACAATACATCATAGATTAAACAGTTTAAGACAGCATATATTTATCATTTCAAATAGCTGTGGGCCAGGAGTGTGAGCACCGCTTAGCAGGGTCCTCCGCTCAGGTTTTACCAAGCTGTAGTCAAGGAGTCAGCCAGGCTTCCAATCTCATCTGAGGCTTGAGTTCCCTTCCACGCTCATTAGTTGTTGGCAGAATTCTGTTCCTTTCAGCTGCAGCACGGAGGCCCTCAGCCACCAGAGATGCCCATCATTCCACAACTTGGCAGCTGGCTTTCTCAAGGCCATTGGGAGACCACTGCTTTAAGTCTCTGACTCTCTGTTAAAGGACTTACTGGATTCGGTCAGGCTGACCCCAAACTTTCTGGTTAACTCAAATTGATATGGGGCCTGAAAAATCCCTTCACTTTTGTCATATATTATAAGCTAACCAAGGCAATGACTATCCACTCATATTCACAAGCCCAGCCCACATTCAAGGGGAGGGAATTATACAGTGTGTATACTGGGGGCGAGAATCTTGGGGCCCATCTTAGAGTTCTGCCCACCATGGCGCCTGTGGTGCCAGTTTCTGCGATGGCTTTCAATTGTCATTCCCACCTCCTGGTATTCGGACCCCTCTATGGTCCTCTCCCACATTGTTTACCAGGGTTGGTCTGTGTGACCAGTAGAATATGGCAGAAATTATGATATATCACTTCTGATATTATAAAAGACACCATAGCTTTCATTTTGGCTTCTTCCGCTCTCTGATCAGACACCCTTAAAGAAGCCAGCTGCTATGTTATATGAACAGCCTTGTGGAGAGACCCACATGGCAAGGAACTGAATCCTCCTACCAGTGGCCACACATATGAGCTTGGAAGCAGTTTCTCCAACCCCTTCAGACAACTGCAACCCCGTGAGAGACTCTGAGCCAAAACCATCCAGCTATGCTACTCTCAGATTCCTGTCCCTCAGATACTGAGATGATAAATGTGTGTTGTTTTCAGCTGCTAAATTTTAGAGCAATTTGTTATGCAGAAGACTGCTAATAAACACCTGAACCAGGCCTGCTTAATCTGGGAAGAGTGAAAGATATCCCTGTCCCTCTTCCCCAGCAGCATGGGAGACGCACATGTGCAGTAGGAGCTAATGAGCCTGCCAAGAGAGGGGCAGAGATCAAAAGTAGTTTGATGGTTCAAGAGCAGCAGTGGTATTCTTTTAGTCTCTGGATCCAGCCAGGTGTGAATTAGTGCTGTGCTTGTTGTTCCCAGTATAATGAGCCAATGCATTCCTTTTTTTCCTCCCTTTAAGTTCAGAACCTTTAAAGTACATTTGGATTTGCTGAAAACATTTTAGCCCTCTCTCCAACTCCTGCAAGTGTGAATTTATACTGATATGCAACAAAGTAAAGCTAAAAACAGTAATTTTTTTCCTTCCTCCCTCCCACCCCCACCATGACAGCTGTGATTAAGCTGATTTGAATCTGATTTCTGTCACTTGCAAGCAAGAGTTCTGACTCAAAAATCCTCTGTAGGATCAGTTTCATAACTCACTTTGGTCATTTCTTTTTTTATGGCAACTTTTCCTCAAGGTCATATTGGCTGATCCTGAATCACATGTTAGGTCGTTCTTTTCAGGTTCCCTGGAAAATAACTTCTGTTTACTTGTGCTTCTAAGAAAGCTCCTATGCATTTTCTCCTAGGAAAGTCTTAACATGCTGAGAATATAGCAGTTTGACTAAATGATCTACATTTATTTCAGGGTAAATTTTCTCTATGGTGTATGGCTTTTTGCTTCCTAACTTAGCTAATCAAACACTCTCTGGGTACTGAGCCAACTGTTCATGCTGAAGCAGCCTGAGCAGTCATTGTGAAGAGAAACACAATAAACAAATCCCACGCACGAATCAAGCAAAAATTCTGAGTTCTAAGATGTAATTTCTCCATACTTGCTGCTCTAAGTGCAGAAGAGTCTTTACAGACCCCATACTTAACCCATAATTCTGCCTCCTCCCAGTTCTGAACTGCAGCAATGAGTTAACACAAACTGGGATCTTTCTCTGTGAGTCCCCTCCCCTACACAACAAATGCTATTGTGATTTTCTCCTAACACCCTAATACCACTACCAAAGTGACACATGGATAATGCATTTCTAAATTTATAATCATTAGACAAAGTAAAAAAAAATCTCACTCCCTAATTGCCCTCCCCTATAATTCCAAAATTTACCATTTCTCAGAATAGTATAGTACACAAAGTCTGAAAATTCACCTCAAAAGCATCATCTTTTACCAAATCAATTTCTTTAAGTTGTCCTGGTGACCATTCACAAACCTGCTCCTAAAGGAAAAAACAAAAACCCCCAAAATCTCAAGTTCAATAATCCTATTAATTGTTTTTGCCTTTTAGTTAAAATATTCAGAGCAGCCAGGAAATCAGTTGAGAGCACTCAGAGGAATTTGTATAAACAATATCTGCATTTTTGTCCCTGAAGAATGTTCTCCATCTACCATATCTGTTTAAATCAGAGACTCTAGAACTGACTACTTGGGTTCAAAGCACAGGTCTTCCATGTAAAGCTGGTACCACTGGCCAAGTTTCCTAACTTCACTCTGCCTCAGTTTCACATCTGTAACACACAGATAATAATAATATCCACCTTGAAATCATTGTTATAAGAATTACCTTAATATTTGCAAAGTAATTAAAATATTGCCTGGCATACAATAATTAATGAATAGCTACAGAGATCATATTGACACCTGATTGTGTATCTCCCCACTTACCATAGGAGGTGCTCCTTAGGCTTTAGTATCATTCAAAAGAGGCATCACCATCACATCTTGTGTAGAGTTAGTACTCTTCTGCATGCTGTATGAGTGAAATTAGATTAAAGTGATCTGAGAGTATTAGTGCTCATGTGACTAGCAAAATAAAACATGAATCTTCTTTGGAATAAGATATTATATCAAGCCAAAAATTATTTCTAGAACAGTTTTGCAAATACAATGTCTGACACACAGTAAAAGTAACCAGGCACTCAGAGACAAGAAAGCAATCAGATAGAAATAACTGCAAATAAAACTCACAAGCACTTCAGATATTAGGGTTTTTAGATATAGATTTTAAAATAACCATACTTGTTTTGTTCAAAGAGACTAGACAAGATAAAGAATTTTAGCAGAAAACCATAATAAAGACCAAATAGAAACTGTAAGATCTGGGAAATCATTGAAATTAGCAACAATTGAATAGATTAATTTGACTAGACAGTTAAAGAGAAACAGTAGCCTGAATATTCATTGGTCCAAAAGAACTATTTAGAATGAAACAAAGAGAAACATAAGGATGGAAACATTAGAAAGAAAGATTAGAAATAGGATACAGTGAGAAGGTGTAACATAGTTTAAGTGGAATTCTGGGAAAGGAAAAGGAGAATGTGTAAGAATTATTTGAAGAAATAATGGATGACAATTTTCTGAAACTGAAAGACATTAATTCGTAGATTCAAGAAGCCCTATTGTTATAGCAAACCGGACCAGGAAACAAACTGAAAGCCACACAAGAGTACTGCAAAACAGGCTTTTATTACCCCGGCGGGCTCAGTGGGGTCTCGCCTCCAAATTCTGAGCAAAATGGGGTCTAAGTATGGTGACTTTTATGTTACAGAAGCAAATACCATAAACCCCAACCAGGATAAACAACTAGGTTCATATCATAGCAAAATGTTTAAAGAAAAAAAAAAAAGAAAGAGAAAGAAAGTTTTAAAGCAGCCAGAAGGAACAAAAAACGGCAGGTTGTCTTTAAAAGACTAACAATTAGGTAAATAGCTGATTTTAAGCAGAGGTAATAGGAACCAAAAGATGAGAATATCATCTTCAAAGTGCTAAAAGAAAATAATTTCCAACCAAAAATTAAAACTCCCAAATTATAACTTCTAACTCTAAATTGTAGCAAACATATATTTCAATAATAAAGTGAAATAAACAATTTTCAGACACACAAAACAGAATTTATAACCAGATTGGTATTAAAATAATTATTTAATCCTAAAGGCTTACTTTTCAGGCAGAAGGAAAATGATAACAGGTGGAAGCTCAAATTCAGGAAGAAAGGAAGAATAATGAGTATGGGGTGAATTTAAATAAGTAGCTAGCTTTCCGCCCATGGGTGCCACAGAGGAAGCATCTTTAAAGTCTCTCTTCCCACTGAGGTCATGTCCAAGTTACAGTCTCCTTAAGAACCTGAACAGCTGCAGCAGCTCTTCCTCTGATGGTTGAGCTTTGAAACAACTGATGAGAGTTTGAGGATCCATTTGAAGCAATGGGGCGTGCTAATGGACTATGTGGTAATGAGATAGCCAAACACCAAGTGCTCCAGGGGGTTTGAGTTTGTCACATATGCCACTGTGGAGGAAGTAGATGCAGCCATGTAGATGCAAGGCCACACAACATGTTTGGAAGAGTTGTGGAATCAAAGAGGACTGTCCCAAAAGAAGATTCCTAAAGACCAAGTGCCCACTTAACTGTGAAAAAGACCTTTGTTGGTAACATGAAAGATGAAACTAAAGAACATCACCTAAGAAATTATTTTGAACCATATGGAAAAATTAAGTGATTGAAATCATGACTAATTGAGGCAGTGGCAAGAAGAGGAGCTTTGCTTTTGTCACCTTTGAAAAGCGTGACTCCATGTATAAGACTGTGATTCAGAAACACCATCCTGTGAATGGCCACAACTGTGAAGTAAGGGAACCCCTATGAAAGCAAGAAATTGCTAGTACTTTATCCAGCCAAAGAGGCTGGAATGTTCTGGAAACTGGTGGTGGTTGTGGAGGTGGTTTTGGTGGGAATGACACCTTTGGTCTCAGAGAAAACTCTGCTGGTCATGGTGGTGGCCATGATGGTGGTGGATGTGGTAGCAGTGGGAATGGCTATGATGGATTTGGTGATAATGGGAGCAATTTGGGAGGTAGTAGAAGCTGTGATGATTTTGGCCACTATAACAATCTTCACATTTTGGACCCACGAGACAAAGAAAATTTGTGGGCACAAGGTCTGGCCCCTATTGTGGTAGAGACCAACTCTTTGCCAAACCATGAAACCAGGGTGGCTGTGGCAGTTCCAGCAGCAGCAGTAGCTATGGCAGCGGCAGGAGGTTTTAATTACTGCCAGGAAACAAATCTTAGCAGGAGAGGAGAGCCAGAGAAGTGACAGGGAGGTACAGGTTGCATCAGATGGGTGAACGCAGTCAAGCACAGCGATGGTAGGGCTCAGCTACTACAAAGACATGTTTTAGACAATATTCATGTATATGGGTAAAAAAACTCAAGGGCTATATGTGTAACTAATTGCATAGCAGGTTATTTTAGTTTCTGTTCTGTGGTAAGTATAAAGCATTCCAACAAAGGATTTTAATGTAGATTTTCTTTGCAGTCATGCTGTTGATTGCTAAATGTAATCGTCGGATCATGCTGCTGAATAAATGTGTCTTTAAAAAAAATAAATAGTAGACTAATGGCAATGAGGTTTAAAATACAGATGCTTGAAATATAAATTTAACACATTATTGACATTCTTATTTTAAATATGAATTAAAGACAGAATTAAAGGTCATAACAATGACCTAAGAATTTAGAAGGGGCTAAAAGGAGTTGAGCTGTCTAAAAGGAGTCTAAGTTCATTTCACTGCTCATTAAAATCAATTAACATAAGGTTTTAAGAACCAGTGAAGTATATCATAATTTTTTAATTCACAAGTTATAGAAGTTGTGTTTAATTCACAAAACTATAGAAGAATGTAAAACTTCCAAGGTAGTAGAGGAAAAAAATAGAATTATAAATTTGTAGTAAGGCCCAGAAACAAGGAAATTTGGAGGGGGGGGGAGGACAGAATAGATGAGACAAGCAGCAACCTCTGAGTCAGACACAAGCAATTCATACTGTAGGACTTGAATTGCCTGAAACCCTAAAAAACAGGCAAAACTAAACTATAATATTTAAAAAATGCACTCTTAGGCAGTAACACTAAAGAAAAGCCAGGAAAGGATTACCACAGAACTTAGAACTGGTTTCCTTTGAGGGAGACAGAAGGTGGGGACTTGGTGGGGACATGTGTGAGCCTTGAGAAAGGCTAGGAAGTCTTTATTGCTTGGCTAACCAGGTGGTCACCCGCTGGGCTTTTGTGCTGATTCACTAGCTACATTTTGTCCACTTCTCTGTAATTATTCTATTTCCACAAAAAAATAAGAGTTTAGCGAGATCTAAATGTGATGGTAAAATCTTCAGAAATATATAGTTAAATAAAATAAGGTACAGAATGGCAAAAATGGTATGTTTAAAAAGCTCACACACTCATATGCATGCTTGTGTTCACATAAGTAATTTTGAAAACAGACATAATAAATTTAATCTGGCCCACTGCCTCCAAGAGGGGAGACTAGGACTCTGGTATTTATAGGAAGCAGGGGCTAATTTTTATCTGTATGCTTTTACTGTGAAAATAAACTGAATTATACTCTTTAATAATATAAGTTTCACCAACATGTCAGTTAACTGAAAAGAACAGGGTTACCATTTGATGAAAGCAATGTTTTCAAAACAAAGGATTACATTTGGAAATTTTAATTTAAGCCTGGCATTTTTAACCAAGAATTGTAAATCAATGCTAAATTTGTTCAAAAGATGGATCAAATTTTCATAACTAAAAAGGGAAAAGTGGCTTTTATTTTAAATGGATACTCATGAATTGATTACCTTTCCATTTCCCTCACATAAGTGGAGTTGAGATAGGTACAGATAATTTATTTGCATTTTAGCTCCCTTCTAGAACATTGTGATGCTTCTTATCTGCATTACAATGGAATGCTACTCAAAAAGAGGAAGGTAATTTAGGGTAAACCAAATGGCTGACTTAAAAATCTGCCACAAGTCATGAAATTATACTTTAAGCTTTTAGTCATATGAGCAAGTAGATTAGATCAGTATCCAATAACATGAATAATCTTAGCTGTCAAAGCAATTAGAAGTAAATATAGTATGCATTTCAGGAACTTAGCAATAAATGGAAAGACAGCACCCATCATTGACAAGGGTGAAGAAATAAGCCCACTCAGGATTTCTGGATTAAGACAGCAGCTTGAACACATGCCTCTAATTTTATTTCTTACCTCCATAACTCAATAAAAATTTAGAGAAGGGATTTTTAAAAAAAAGATACAAAGCAGGCCGGACGTGGTGGCTCACGCCTGTAATCCTAGCACTCTGGGAGGCCGAGGCGGGCGGATTGCTCAAGGTCAGGAGTTCTAAACCAGCCTAAGCGAGACCCCGTCTCTACCATAAAAATAGAAAGAAATTAATTGGCCAACTAATATATATAAAAATCAGCCGGGCATGGTGGCTCGTGTCTGTAGTCCCAGCTACTCAGGAGGCTGAGGCAGGAGGATCGCTTGAGCCCAGGAGTTTGAGGTTGCTGTGAGCTAGGCGGCACTCACTCTAGCCTGGGCAAGAAAGCGAGACTCTGTCTCAAAAAAAAAAAAAAAAAAAAGATACAAAGCAGAAAAAATGAGAGAGGCAAAAAAAAAAAAAAGTCAGAAAAATGTGGAAGCTAGAGAAATATGGGCAAGTAGTAACTTATTTAGTAGACCTAAGAAAGAAAATCTCTAGTACTGGGAAAATGTGAGTTAATCAATTTATACCACAGAGTGCTCAAATGGCATAGGAATGGCCTTTGGAACAGGTGCTGAAAGAAAGAGGAAGATAAGAAAACCTCATGGGGGAGCTGTTACTTGTAGCCATCCAATCCAGGTTGGATGGATGCCCTCCCAGTTCACAGGTAAGATGTCCTGACTAATGATGCATGAACACATTGAG